AGCACACTACCATGCCCTGCCAATATTTTTGTATTTTTAGTAGAGATGAGTTTTGCCATATTACCTAGGCTGGTCTCCAACTTCTGAGCTCAAGCAACCCGCTGGCCTCTGCCTCTCAGAGTGCTAGGTTTAGACAGGCGTGAGCCACTGCACCTGGCCCAAGAGTTTGCATTTCGAACAAGTTCTCAGGTGATGTTGCTGCCACAGGTCTAGGGATTTCACTTTTGAGAGCCACTGGGAGTGGGGTCTGCACAAGACCTTGGTGTGTACCAAGACTTGAAAAGGAGTTGAAAAGACTTCATCAAGATCTATTTATCAACACACTTGTTTCACTTCTGGACTCTGCAAGTTATCATAAAACTATTAGGTAAAAATATATGCCTTGCTGTACACAAGAGGTGCAATACCTTGTATTTATATTAGATATGATTAATTTGATTTGACTGTCACAAATGTCAGGGAGAGAGATCAGGTATCTTAATCTGACACAAAAATAACTGCAACGCAGAAAGGCTAGGTGACCGTAGCCTTGTCTAATCACATTTTACATTATATCGGGCTCTTTCATATTGTTCCCAACTTCTAGAATTTTGTCACATTTTGGAGAAGCAGAAATAAAATTAGGCACACGAAAGTTTAAATAATCAAATCAACAGAATGGATTTTAAGTAGCATTTTGTGCAGTGGAAAAGGAAGAAGTGAAACAAGTGATTTGGAAGCTCAGAAAGATCAGCTTTGTTGCTTAGGCTGAGAAAATCTCCCTCTCCACAAATATCCAGCTTCTTCCTGCTCACCGACAACTGCCACCAATTACCGCTCCACTTCCAGGTAGCACCTGAGAGTCACTTTGGGAACCATAGGCCACTGGTCTTCTCTTTGTCTGCACATGCACACAACTGGATTGCTTAGTTCTTCTGGTAAAACTCCTGGTTAAAGAAGTTGTTAGTATGTCTTTTTTTTTTTTTTTTTTTTTTTTTTTTTTTTTTTTTTTTTTTTTTTTTTTTTTTTTTTTTTTTTTTTT